CCAGCAGTTAATCAAACCCCGCTGGAAAATATCGAACCTGGTGAAGAGGCTCAAGGGCTACGAAGGTCGGGACGTGTACGTCGCCCACCTAACAGTTTGGGAGATTACTGTCTCTGATATTTTAGAAGGGGGAGATTGTAGTGATACTGGTCCTGTGGGGAGCAGCAGCAGGATAATACTGCACCACCTCTAGGGGCCCTTAACAACAACAACAGTTTGGTGTGTGTCATGGGCACCAACACATGGTGTGTGATTCTCTCCTACTTTATCCATTTATCAGCGATGCAGATTACATGGTGAGTTTAAATATGTGGCCTGTAGTTATAACTTTTCTCTTGACATATGCAAGACATCACCATCCCTGTAGAAGCTATTATTAGATGTACTAGTCATTATATTTTGTTGTTGCAGAAGTACTATGAAGATTCTATGTTCAATAAAGCCTAGAGATAAGGCCTGTGTTTCTATCACAACACTTTGCTAACGGTGGCTTTCCTCGAGGGACCACCACACCCTTTTTTCCTTTACGTTGACTAATGCCTAAGGCGCCACCTTTACCTTGTACATTCTCTGTTATATTACTCGCTGTCCTGGAACCACGCGACGCCCCACCAGTGACTTCCGACCACGTCTTCTTCCCAGAACGCTGTCCAGGGGTCAAGACATCGTCGGAGTCAGGCGGGGTAGCCGCACGCTTCCTAGAAACAGCATCCTCAGCTTTATCAGGACCTGTAATGTTCTCCTTGTGAACTTCTACCGCAACAGTATGAACTCTCGGACCTTCTACCTCACTTACGTTAATTAACTGATCGACATTCTTTAACTGTGTTCTCTCCTCATCTGAACACTCCAACGCAGGCACACATGGCACAGAATCATACTCCTGCGAAGCTAAAAGGTCGCTCAATGTCGATACAATGTTAGCTTCCATGTCAGCATCCTCTCTTGCTTGAGGGCTCTCACTTACACCATGTTCTACCACATCATGGTTGACCATACCAGGTAGTCACGTAGGATGACTCCACGAGCATGGCCCGATCCACCTCATCACTCCACGATTTCAGGCACGGTAAGTCCTCGACTACTTCATCTGCCAGAATCCGACGAGGAGCCTCACCATCCGGACGACGACCACGTCCTGAGGGCGTCTGGCGCTTAATGCATTGTGCAGCAATGTGATCCAATGCGCCGCAAAGGCGACAAGTTCGTCTCTGTCCAGGATACGTAACATACACCTGGGTACGGAACTCCTCTAGGTTTATGTACGAAGGTATTGGTTGGTGTAGGGACATTTTCAACGTGAAAGACCCTTCCTGTAAACCAGCAAAGTGGCCATCAGACCACCGACCCATAGTAACCTGGTGGATCGTCCCATAGTATTTGAAGGCGTCACGTATGTCAACTTTGTTAGCCTCAAAAGGCACATTTCGCACACGTACCCACGTATAGTATTGTGAAACGTCGTGCAACTTAACTGTGACTGCTGGGGTGACTTGCTTGATAACATCCTGATACTGGTTGACAATCTGCTCGTAGGTCTTGGTATCACAAAACTTGACGAAAATCCGGGATAGTCCATTTAAGGCAACGCCACACACGGATTCACGCTGGATGCCATATACATGGCGGATGATCATCGGCACCAACACATTAATTGATGTGCTGGGGATTGTGCCCTTTATGAGGTCAATACACACAGTATTAACTCTCCTTCGAAAACCAGCCGCCATTGTTGTTGTCGTCGCAAAGCTCCTCCACCAGGTGTCGGGACTGAGGAGAGACAGCTGACGACCACTCAGCACAGCGTCTGAGCAGAGAATGTGTTAGAATTAGGGCAATTGCGGTGGGCATACATAGAACGGTTTGCAGGAACAAACTTATTTATGGGGGACAGTAGAGGGCACGTTTTCCGGAGACCTACTGCAAAATTACGGTCAATGGCCTCATTCAGTTGGCGAGCTAATTATACGTAAAGGACTGGTTTCCTTTATAAGCAGGTTGACATTAGTTTTTCGGAGGGGGAGTGTATGAGGTAAAGGACTTGCGAAAGAATGTGAGGGTCGGGAAGGTATGTACTGCGTGGTGCTGTGCTGACATTTAAGTTTTGTGTGAAAGATTTTGATAAGCCCAAGATTTGTATAAATTAGGTCCTTGTGATTAAAAGGGAGTTATAAAAGTCACTGTCCATGTTGGTCTACCAGTTTCTGCAAAGATAATTTTTCTGGTATGTATTTTCGTAGCATTTATTGTAATTTTGTAGGGAATTTCTTTCCTCTTAGATGGATTTTATATTTGGTTTTACATAATTTGTTTTCCATCACTTTTGTAATGGTATTAAGTTTCGTTGCTGATGCAACGTATGCTGTAAAAATCTTGCAGTTGTTGATGCTTTATACCCTTATGCAATTTTGTGTAATGCTTATTTTTGTTATAGAGTAATGTTGACGGATAATTACCAGACTTTGTTCTTAAGTTAAATCTCATAAACAGTTGCATGTATTACCTGGAGTTTACCTGGAGAGAGTTCCGGGGGTCAACGCCCCCGCGGCCCGGTCTGTGACCAGGCCTCCTGGTGGATCAGAGCCTGATCAACCAGGCTGTTGCTGCTGGCTGCACGCAAACCAACGTACGAGCCACAGCCCGGCTGATCCGGAACTGACTTTAGGTGCTTGTCCAGTGCCAGCTTGAAGACTGCCTGGGGTCTGTTGGTAATCCCCCTTATGTGTGCTGGGAGGCAGTTGAACAGTCTCGGGCCCCTGACACTTATTGTATGGTCTCTTAACGTGCTAGTGACACCCCTGCTTTTCATTGGGGGGATGGTGCATCGTCTGCCAAGTCTTTTGCTTTCGTAGTGAGTGATTTTCGTGTGCAAGTTCGGTACTAGTCCCTCTAGGATTTTCCAGGTGTATATAATCATGTATCTCTCCCTCCTGCGTTCCAGGGAATACAGGTTTAGGAACCTCAAGCGCTCCCAATAATTGAGGTGTTTTATCTCCGTTATGCGTGCCGTGAAAGTTCTCTGTACATTTTCTAGGTCGGCAATTTCACCTGCCTTGAAAGGTGCTGTTAGTGTGCAGCAATATTCCAGCCTAGATAGAACAAGTGACCTGAAGAGTGTCATCATGGGCTTGGCCTCCCTAGTTTTGAAGGTTCTCATTATCCATCCTGTCATTTTTCTAGCAGATGCGATTGATACAATGTTATGGTCCTTGAAGGTGAGATCCTCCGACATGATCACTCCCAGGTCTTTGACGTTGGTGTTTCGCTCTATTTTGTGGCCAGAATTTGTTTTGTACTCTGATGAAGATTTAATTTCCTCATGTTTACCTTATCTGAGTATTGAAATTTCTCATCGTTGAACTTCATATTGTTTTCTGCAGCCCACTGAAAGATTTGGTTGATGTCCGCCTGGAGCTTTGCAGTGTCTGCAATGGAAGACACTGTCATGCAGATTCGGGTGTCATCTGCAAAGGAAGACACGGTGCTGTGGCTGACATCCTTGTCTATGTCGGATATAAGGATGAGGAACAAGATGGGAGACGAGTACTGTGCCTTGTGGAACAGAGCTTTTCACCGTAGCTGCCTTGGACTTTACTCTGTTGACAACTACTCTCTGTGTTCTGTTAGTGAGGAAATTATAGATCCATCGACCGACTTTTCCTGTTATTCCTTTAGCACGCATTTTGTGCGCTATTACGCCATGGTCACACTTGTCGAAGGCTTTTGCAAAGTCTGTATATATTACATCTGCATTCTTTTTGTCTTCTAGTGCATTTAGGACCTTGTCGTAGTGATCCAATAGTTGAGACAGACAGGAGTGACCTGTTCTAAACCCATGTTGCCCTGGGTTGTGTAACTGATGGGTTTCTAGATGGGTGGTGATCTTGCTTCTTAGGTCCCTTTCAAAGATTTTTATGATATGGGATGTTAGTGCTATTGGTCTGTAGTTCTTTGCTGTTGCTTTACTGCCCCTTTGTGGAGTGGGGCTATGTCTGTTGTTTTTAGTAACTGTGGGACGACCCCCGTGTCCATGCTCCCTCTCCATAGGATGGAAAAGGCTCGTGATAGGGGCTTCTTGCAGTTCTTGATGAACACAGAGTTCCATGAGTCTGGCCCTGGGGCAGAGTGCATGGGCATGTCATTTATCGCCTGTTCGAAGTCATTTGGCGTCAGGATAACATCGGATAGGCTTGTGTTAATCAAATTTTGTGGCTCTCTCATAAAAAATTCATTTTGATCTTCGACTCTCAGTCTGGTTAGCGGCTTGCTAAAAACTGAGTCATATTGGGACTTGAGTAGCTCACTCATTTCCTTGCTGTCATCTGTGTAGGACCCATCTTGTTTAAGTAGGGGCCCAATACTGGACGTTGTTCTCGATTTTGATTTGGCATAGGAGAAGAAATACTTTGGGTTTCTTTCGATTTCATTTATGGCTTTTAGTTCCTCCCGCGATTCCTGACTCCTAAAGGATTCTTTTAGCTTAAGTTCGATGCTTGCTATTTCTCTGACCAGTGTCTCCCTACGCATTTCAGATATATTGACCTCTTTTAGCCGCTCTGTTATTCTTTTCCGTCGCCTGTAAAGGGAGCGCCTGTCTCTTTCTGTTTTACATCTACTCCTTTTTCTTAGAGGAATAAGCCTTGTGCATACATCGAGTGCCACCGAGTTAATCTGTTCTAGGCATAAAGTTACAAAAATTTATGTTTGATCACTGCTGTGATCAATAAGTGTGCGAATGATGTGGGTGTATTTATAGATGAGTTTTCATTAGGGAAGGGCCCCCTCCAACAGTTTTGTGTGTGTGTCAGATATATTATCATTTTGTATAATGTGTGTCAGTGCATGGTGTGTATGTATTTTGCGTGTTTCAAAATTTTTTCTCTTGCACTTGTGATATAATTCTTCGTAATCTTGTCCAGATCCTGTATTATTGTGGTATTTAATATTTTATACTACCTTGTAATTTATGATGTTTTAAATAAAATATAAAAAAAAATTACCAGAATTTGTTCTTCAGTAAAACCGCATAAACAGTTGCATGTATATATAAAGTTACATAAATTAAGGTGTGATCACTGCTGTGATCAGTAAGTGTGCGAATGATGTGGGTGTATTTATATTAAGTCTCGAGAAGGCCTGAGCTTGCTAACACCTGCAGCTCACAAGACTGCCATCCCCACGAGCCCCTTTGAGGCGGGGTAGATGGCAGACCAGAGGCCTAGCTTCTCCCTACGAGCCCCGTGAGGGCGGGGAATGTGGCTAGGCCTGGGGACACTTGGTTCCAAAGATGAGGAGGTACTTGTACCTCCTCCCATGGGAGACTTAAGTCTCGAGACACTCCCCAGATAGGGAGCCAAGGCCGGGTCACCACTACTTGGAAAAGACCCGGGCCGGGAGAATACCGGCGAAAAAAAAACAAAAAACAAAAAAAATATGTCTCGAGAAGGCCTGAGCTTGCTACCACCTGCAGCTCACAAGACTGCCATCCCCACGAGCCCCTTTGGGGCGGGGCAGATGGCAGACCAGAGGCCTAGCTTCTCTCTACGAGCCCCGTGAGCGCGGGGAATGTGGCTAGGCCTGGGGACAGTTGGTCCCAAAGATGAGGGGGTACTTGTACCTCCCCCCATGGGAGACTTAAGTCTCGAGACACTCCCTAGATAGGGAGCCAAGGCCGGGTCACCACTACTTGGAAAAGACCCGGGCCGGGAGAATACCGGCGAATAAAAAAAAAAAAAAAAAAAAAAAATAGATGGGTTTTCATGGGGGGGGGGCTCCCCTCCAACAGTTTTGTGTGTATGAGTCAGATATTTCATCATTTTGTATAATGTGTGTCAGTGAATGGTGTGTATGTATTTTGAGTGTTACATATTCCTATTTTATATTGGGTTTTCATATATTTTTCTCTTGCACTTGTGATATGATTCTTAGTAATCTTGTCCAGATCCTGTATTGTGGTGTTATTTAATATTTTATACCACCTTGTAATTTATAATGTTTAAAAAAAAAAAAAAAAAAAAAAGTTCCTTACCTAGTTTAATTTATTTTGGGATTTCAGCAGTTCTGTTTTCTAACTTCGACGATACTTCCTATTTAGTGCAAACTTAATCATCCTATTAGAAATAGTAACTACTTGTTAAACAAAAAAAAAAATAGTGGCAGAAATAGCATTTACCAGTTGTACTTGGCCACAGTTGGATAATTGACTCACCTCTAATTTTAGTTACGAAATTTTGGCAGTTGGAGGGCAGCTTAGAATTATTCTCACAGGTTAATTCATAATCTGCTCAAGATTCTTGAATCTTATACCAAGAATACAGGAGCAGGGTAGTCATAACATTACTGGGGAATGTAGTTTACATCATACATAATGTTTATATATGCAGGCCAATACGTTACATAACATTCCTTTTAGCAATCGTAAGGTATAATCATAATTTACACTATTTCCAATATTCTCTCTCTTCTGTTTCCTACATTCACGTCTAGATTCCAGTAATAAGGTGCCCAATAAACAAGAATTCGAAATTCATAGCTAATGCTTTTAACATCGCAAGTATGTTTTTTTAAACTAATTACGCCCTCTTGAGGCGAATTATTTAACGCCTGTTGCTACTACCACATGTGTGCAGTGCGGCTCATTGTCATTCTTGTTCATTACGGTGCCCCGTGGCCTGGTGGGTAAACCTCTCGCTTCACACGGCGTGTCTAGGTTCGATTCCCAGCGAGGGTAGAAACATTGTGCGTGTTTCCTTACACCCGGTTGTCTATGTTCACCCATTAGTAAAACGGGTACCTGGGTGTTAGTGGATTGGTGTGGGTTGCATCCTGGGACAAAAGTGACCTAATTTGTCCGAAATGCTCTGCATAGAGAGGAAGAGGCAAGGATAAAGAGGGAGAGAGGAAGACAAACAAATAAAAAAAAATCAATGAAGAAGGGTACAGTGAAAACATACCTGGTGGGACTCATTAAGTCAGTTGCCCGGGACAACACAACCACACTGCTCCCTTTACCACCTCACACACACTGACTCCCAGCTGACATTCTTTCTCAACTTACAGGGGGAGGGAGGGATGATAGGGAAGGAGAGAGGGTTGGTGGGAGGGAAGGTTAGAGGGTTGGTGGGAGGGAAGGTGATAGGAACACAGGGAGTGTGGGCTGGTAGGTAGGAGGGTTATAATAAAAGAGAGCGAGAGTTAAGGGGTAACTGCAGCAGGAATTAATTTACATTGGAGTGCCAAGCCTTACGTTTATTATATAAAAATAACACCGTCATAGAGCTCTAATATACAAAGTTATCATGAAATATATTTTTTTTACACAAGTTTAGTACTGTTACCATTTTCATCATAAATGTTTTATGCATTAAACTGATAAACTCAAAATATTATTGTGCCCTCCAAAGGGATAACTTGATACTAGTGAAAGAGCTGTTGATTCAAGGAATTACAGCTGCCCTCCCCAATGGAAATAAGCCACTTTGACTTTTTTGGGTTATCTAAAGTTCTCGACACATATGCTGCATTTGTGTATACCTGAATGAACTTACTTACCCTTTTCTCGAATCATACCCCCCCCCAGGTGCTGCACGACGCTTGTGGGTTAAGATAAGAGATAATAATAATATCTTTATTTCTACAAGTACATGTACAAGGTATACAAACATTACAAGGTATACAAACATTACAAGGTATACAAACATTACAAGGTATACAAACATTACAAGGTATACAAACATTACAAGGTATACAAACATTACAAGGTATACAAACATTACAAGGTATACAAACATTACAAGGTATACAAACATTACAAGGTATACAAACATTACAAGGTATACAAACATTACAAGGCATACAAACATTACAAGGCATACAAACATTACAAGGTATACAAACATTACAAGGTATACAAACATTACAAGGTATACAAACATTACAAGGCATACAAACATTACAAGGCATACAAACATTACAAGGCATACAAACATTACAAGGTATACAAACAATACAAGTATACAAACATTACAAGGTATACAAACATTACAAGGTATACAAACATTACAAGGCATACAAACATTACAAGGTATACAAACATTACAAGGTATACAAACATTACAAGGCATACAAACATTACAGTCTGATATTAGTGACCAAATCATTGTACTACGTTAGTGTATATTATTATGCCATTATTGAACTAATCCCTGTACTATCACCTCTTGGATAGTATTTACTGCCTCATTATCCCATGTGTCCCACACAGTTCCTTGTGTGACCCAATTTGTGTTATCTTTCCAGATTTCCCTTTTACAATTTATTACTTGTTAATAAGTTACTCTTTAATAATGTCTGTAATGCGATTTATTCCTACTTAAGCACTGTTACAATTCTTCTATAATCTTACCTAATTTTCCCTCTGCTCCTAAACTACAAATAGCAAACTAGTGTATGTTCCTACTACACTACAGTGCAATTCCTTGTACCATCTTCTACTAGCTAGTATCAACTACCTCAAATAATATTTCTTTAGTGATATCAATTGCTCAAACTTTATGTTATAAGGCAAATCTTACTCTCAAATTAATTTCATATCATAGTGTCAATCTATTTAAAGGTTGTTTTTACCACTACTTAATTTAGTCCCGTTTTACATTTCTCCTGAAATAATTCTCTATATACCAATACATTGTACTGCCCTTTATTCAGTAATTGCTACACTCCTAGTTCTAACAACAATTAAAGAGCAACTTCCAGGAGATTTAATATTTTTTTTCCTCTTGTCCATATAGTCACATTTATTAAAATACTCCAGATGCTATTGACTACCTCAGGTGCTATTGACTACCTCAGGTGTTATTGACTACCTCAGGTGCTATTGACTACCTCAGGTGTTATTGATTTTGTTTTAATACATTCTTGTTTTTAATACATTCTTTTATTATATTCACTAGCTCCTTTATTCTAGCTGTAAATATCTACCGTAGTTCATAAACTCACATTTTATTAAAATAATTAAGGTGCTATTAGATGCTTAATTGTATAAATGAATAATCTGTACTGTAATAATCCCTTTTTCTTTAAAATTTTTACAAGTTTTAGAATAATTACAGAGTCTTATTCACAAGTCTAGTTGTAGATTCAGTATAACTCTTATTACTTTGCTCAGAAAATCTAGTTTTTAAAATTACTCGCATCCTATGATTACAGGCATAGATCCTGATGTAAACTTTTTACTAAATGAAATACACGAATCAACCAGTAACTGTAATTACTATACAGCAGACCAAGCAAAGACATTACTCAGTGCAAACAATAACATAACCATTTTTAACTACAATGTCAGATCCTTGAGCAAACATTATGATGACCTCACAGCATTACTCAGTTCCCTTCATTCCAATATATCAATCATTACACTCACAGAAACCTGGCTTAAGCCTGATATTACAGATGTCTATACCATTCCTGGCTACATGGCCATACACAACTGTAAAACAGACCAGCAAGGGGGAGGAACAGCTATATACTACTCAAATCAACTCGAATGCATCGATAAATCCAGCACAAGGGATGAACATGTAGAATATATCATAGCCAAATTTAAATCGAAAGACCTGCAAAAACCCCTCTCACAATTATAAACATATACAGAGTACCACAGTCAAACATTTATCACTTTAGTGAAAAACTAGGAAACATGATTACTGATGCACACATGAATAAAGACCACCTACTACTAACAGGAGATTTCAACATAAACATACTTTATATATATATATATATATATATATAATTATATATAATATATATATATATATATATATATATATATATATATATATATATTATTTAAAAGCAACATATATATAAACCATGAAAAGAAAAAACACAAGCCGACAATTAGCAAATCAAAAAACCGTGGCAGATAATGTCAGTACACACACAAAAAAACAAAATACATTTTAACACACTGATATAACAAAATTCTACTGAAAAAAACCCAAACAGGTTATGGAAAAAAACATACCGACTTCCAAACAGTCGGAGTCATTATAAAACATGTAGGAATAAGTCCTATAATCATATATATATGTATATATATACACATGCACATACACACATACGTGTATGTGCACATGTGTTCGTACAGAGCAAACTGGATTATACATAGAAATAAAACGCAAAATGACTTGTCACTAAATGTTGCAACCCCTGAATGGGTTGCAATATATACAATGTATATTATGATTATGAATATAATGTATATTACCTTTTCATATAATTTTATACTGCTTATATATGCGATAATAGCTAAATCGTGAATATATTGCTTTATATTATTTCACTTAGTTACCTGTTGTTAGGTAGGATGTAACACATATATTATGTGCTCAAAGTTCAAGTCTTGATTGTCTAACTACTGTAATTATCGCTCGCTGTACAGCCCTTGTGGCTTAGTGCTTCTTTTTGATTATAATAATAATGTAATTATCGCTTGTGGCTCGTTTCCCTGCCGGCTTCTCGTTGTTACTGAGCAGCAGCTGTCCATGGAGCTATCACGTGATAGAGGGGGGGGGGTCCTCACCTCGCCTGAAGTATTCAGTCTGGTCTAGACTCTCTTGGTGGTTGGACGTATCCCTGACAAGAGCCTAACTCTTCCTTATTGGCCCTTGTTGGAAAATCGTCTGTCTTATTATTGTTAGTTCTGGAGACTGTTCACAGAACATTGTATAGACTTAGTGATTTTCGACGTTGTATTGAGGTTGTGTCGAATAGACACTCTGAGCAACTCAGGTCCTGAGCTGTAGCTTCTGACCTAATTTGTACTGGTATCTGTGCATTGTCAGTCGGGTATTTTCTTATGCTGAACTTAGATTCAGTAGTATGGGAGCTTTGTGACTTTTGTGGAGGATCTGCTGATGGTCCCTACTTAGTGTCTTTATATTATCTCCTTGTTCCTGATTGTGTCGCAGTTGCTTGTTATATTGTTGTTCAGCTTATCAGTCGTTTTATTGTTCAAGCAGACTGTTCTGATTGCCAGTTGGTCAAGAAGTTAGTTTATGCGAGGACTTTGTCAGTCACTTGTTAAAGTCTAGTCGAGTCGTGAGACATAGCAAACTACTTAGAGCACTTACACACATACACACAAACTTGCTTGTACATATTTGTAATATCTTATTATATGTTAATGTACCAGACTGTACTTAAGAATTATAAATGTGATATGTGCTTTCAGCACAATAATACTGTACATGAGAGAAGTGATTAATATTATTTTGATTACTGTGATTATTATTATTTTGTTGATATTGATTTAATTTAATGATATACCTCTAGACGATAATTAATAAATTTATTAAATTTTAATTTCTCTAGTTAGTAGCCTACCAGTTGTAATCCTGAAGCACTATTGAATCATACTGATTTCTAATGGATAATTGGACAAGGATACTGACTAATTGTTACGAAAACCCAGTAACAGGCTGGATGCTAGAAGGGCAGTCCTTCCTAGTATTCACTGGAGATCTCTAAGCTTTTAGAATAGCGTTTTTTGTAACACTAAATAAACTAAAAATATATTACATCCAAAAATAGAACTATATCTAAGACATTGGTTCCCACAAACACACCCACACACACACACAAAGTTAGTTACCGATTAACATTCAATATATGACCTTCCATACAAATAGAAGGGTATATATAAACCCTATAAAATACTTATGTATTCTCGTACATAGTTCATAATGTACCCCTTCAATTATACGATAAAAAAAAGAAGTATGACAAGGATAAAGCTATCATCAGATTCGAATATATAAAGCATATCCTCACATATACATATGAATATAACCCCCTATATAAAATGGTTCTTATAACGATAAAAGAAAAAAACAGAAAATCACATACAACTTTTAACTGTGGTTTTACAAAATTCATAAGGTCTACATACCCCGGAGCCCCCGACGGCTCCCTGCAAATAAACTTTACCCACATCAAACACCTTGCAAACAAGTCGATCTTCC